CATATAGATCATTCATCATTCATCACAACTTTGGCCATATCATATCACAAAGCACTTGCTGCAAAAACAAGTTAGACGTCGTCTAATTGTTGTTGCATGTTTTACGTGGCTGAAGTAGGGTTCTAGCAAGAACGTTTTCTTACCTACGTGAAAGCCACAACGTGATTTGTCAACTTCTATTTACCCTTCATAAGGACCCTTTTCATCGAATCCGCTCCAACTAAAGTGGGAGAGACAGACACCCGCCAGCCACCTTATGCAACTTGTGCATGTTAGTCGGTGGAACCGGTCTCACGTAAGCGTACGTGTAAGGTTGGTCCGGGCCGCTTCATCCCACAATACCGTTGAAGCAAGATAAGACTAGTAGCGGCAAGAAAGTTGACAACATCGACGCCCACAACAAATTGTGTTATACTCGTGCAAGAGAACTACGCATAGACCTAGCTCATGATGCCACTGTTGGGGAACGTTGCAGAAAACAAAAATTTTCCTATGGTTTCACCAAGATCCATCTAGGAGTTCATCTAGCAACGAGTGATTAGATGCATCTACGTACCTTGTAGATCGCGAGCGGCAGCGTTCAAAGAACGGGGATGAGGGAGCCGTACTCGACGTGATTCGAATCACCGAAGATCCTAGCACCGAACGGACGGCACCTCCGCGTTCAACACACGTATGGAACAGCCACGTCTCCTCCTTGATCCAGCAAGGGGGGAGGAGAGGTTGAGGGAGATGGCTCCAGCAGCAGCACGACGGCGTGGTGGTGATGGAGCTGCAGTACTCCGGTAGGGCTTCGCCAAGCACTATGGAGGAGGAGGGGGTGTTGGAGAGGGAGAGGGAGGCACCAAAGGAAAAGGTAAGAAGTCCTCCATCTCCCCCACTATATATAGGAGGGCCAAGGGGGGGGCTCCGGCCCTAGGAGATCCAATCTCCTAGGGGGGTGCGGCCAAGGGGAGGAATCCCTCCTCCCCAAGGCACCTAGGAGGTGCCTTCCCCTCCTAGGACTCTTCCTTTAGGGTTTCCCCCACCCTAGGCACATGGGCCCTAGGGGGAAGTGGCGCCCCAGCCCACTTTGGGCTGGACCCCTTCCCACTTCAGCCCATGGAACCCTCCGGGATAGGTGGCCCCACCCGGTGGACCCCCGGGACCCTTCCGGTGGTCCCGGTACAATACCGGTGACCCCGAAACTTGTCCCGATGCCCGAAATAGCACTTCCTATATATAATTCTTTACCTCCGGACCATTCCGGAACTCCTCGTGACGTCCGGGATCTCATCCGGGACTCCGAACAACATTCGGGTTACTGCATATACATATCCCTACAACCCTAGCGTCACCGAACCTTAAGTGTGCAGACCCTACGGGTTCGGGAGACATGTAGACATGACCGAGACGACTCTCCGGCCAATAACCAACAGCGGGATCTGGATACCCATGTTGGCTCCCACATGCTCCTCGACGATCTCATCGGATGAACCACGATGTCGAGTATTCAAGCAACCCCGCATACAATTCCCTTCGTCAATCGGTATGTTACTTGCCCGAGATCCGATCGTCGGTATCCCAATACCTCGTTCAATCTCGTTACCGGCAAGTCACTTTACTCGTACCGTAATGCATGATCCCGTGACCAGACACTTGGTCACTTTGAGCTCATTATGATGATGCATTACCAAGTGGGCCCAGTGATACCTCTCCGTCATACGGAGTGACAAATCCCAGTCTTGATCCGTGTCAACCCAACAGACACTTTCGGAGATACCCGTAGTATACCTTTATAGTCACCCAGTTACGTTGTGACGTTTGGTACACCCAAAGCACTCCTACGGTATCCGGGAGTTACACGATCTCATGGTCTAAGGAAAGGATACTTGACATTGGAAAACTCTAGCAAACGAACTATACGATCTTGTGCTATGTTTAGGATTGGGTCTTGTCCATCACATCATTCTCCTAATGATGTGATCTCGTTATCAATGACATCCAATGTCCATAGTCAGGAAACCATGACTATCTGTTGATCAACGAGCTAGTCAACTAGAGGCTTACTAGGGACATGTTGGTGTCTATTATTCACACATGTATTACGATTTTCGGATAACACAATTATAGCATGAATAAAGACAATTATCATGAACAAGGAAATATAATAATGATGCTTTTATTATTGCCTCTAGGGCATATTTCCAACACAATTATCATATCTCAAATCCATACAAACTCATGCTACTACATCGATGCACACATTGTCCGACTAGTCCACCACACTACACTAAACATCCATCGGACCACCAAAATTTGCCATGTTTGGCTATGGTGGAGATCATCCACGGCTGCCCTTGCCCTTCCCGGTGCCCTTGCCGTCCTTCTTGCGGAAGTACCGGTCGAAGACGTGGTAAGGATCGAGCCGGATCTACTCGTCGTCGGAGCTGTCCTCATCGTCGTTATCCTCCTTATCCTCCTTCGTTGGCAGTCCGACCATGGCACGGACCGCCCGATTCTGCTCTCGGGGCGAGGGCGCGTGTGTTCCTCCGCTGTCATTTCTTCATAATGCGGGCGCGGATGGCTCCCTCCTCTGCGACAGCCCGCGCCGCCGCATCAGCCGTCTCCGCCATTTACGCCGCGATATGGTCCTCGACGTCCCTTATCCTCTCCTTCCCATGGCGGGCTTCCCATTCTGGGTGGGACTCATAGTCTGCCCAACCGGTGATGGGGAAGGAGAGATTTTCCGGCTATCGGGACCGCGATGATCCAGCCCCAGAGGACCAGAGCGCCCGTTGATCCTACTCAATGGAGTCATGCCAGACAAATCCGTCCGTCGGCCGGGCGCTGTCCTCCCTGGAGCGACGGAGTGCAATGCGGACCGCCATTGCCTCCTCCAACCCACACGAGATGACACCCCAGTTCACGGATTCGGACAGGTCGGAGTCAGACCCGCTGCTTGCCATGTCGAAGGGAGTGGAGGGAGAGAAGTGTGAAGTGGCTAGGGTTTGATCCGGCGAGCGGATGGGGACGAATATATGTGGGGTTGGGTGGGCCTGCTTGGGCCGGGTCCGACGTGGCAGACGCGCCCGGGGCCCCCATATCCGCCCCATTTTTGGGTTGAATATGAGGTGTGTCGGTCAGCCCGGGCGTTTAAGGTGTCCGTCTGGGTCGAAAAATCATGACCGGTCAGTGACCGGGCGGGCCGCCCTGGCATTTGAGGAGGGTTTGGGGCGCTCGGTTCTAGATGCTCTTAGAATCTATGCCCTGCTCATGAAGACGAGGCAGGGGGCAGCTTCCTGAAAATGGAATAAGGTTCACCCTGCCTAGCCTCCGTTCTGATGATGCGTCTAGAGTCATCCAAGAGCGTGTGGAGGTGTGTCTCCGGCGGATCTCACAGGATTTGCTCAGTGTTGGTCTTCAGTGGAGTGTTGGTCTTTAGTGGATCTATTTGGATCCACTCTTTCCTCGCCTTCGTTCATGTGTTTGCATGTTGAATCCTTTCGATCTATTATTCTCTCCATCGACGATGGTTGCTATTTCTCGTGCAATGGTCCTCTAGGGCCTTAACACGACGGCTTTTTTTATTTTCTACAGCAACAAGTTTGGCCCGGCTCCGGTTAGGGGCGGGCGATGAAGGTGGCATGCCTTCAGCTCACTCCAGTACTTGTAGTCATCGCTAGGTGATCTATAGGCATAAATGTAATTTTAGCTCACATGTTTTCATTGCAATCTCTCTTTATTATAAGACTGACTCCTCACATGTTTTCATTGCAATCTCTCTTTATTCTAAGACTGGCTCCTACTGGAGCATCTATGTTAAGCATGGCAAAGTCATCCACTCAATCTCAAGTTAGCTTAGACGGTAGATGCCTATTATGGGTTTATCATCACGCGCAAGGGGGCGTCAGATACATTTGGCCATGGCCGCAATGTAGTAATTTCATCGACAATGTAGTTCCCGAGGATGCATGTTGTAAGTTTCATAACAGAAAAAAAAAGGAAGGCGGATGATAGCTCGCCGTCATCCGTCTCAAACTGTCAAATGCACATCATCACAGCCGTTGCTCGTCCCGATCCACATCCACGCCTTCCCTCCCGTAACACCCGCAGTTCCATCCGCAAACACCCGTTCGCAGCATGATGGTGCCTGCGCGACTCACAGCACCATGTCAGGATGTCGCCTACGTACATCCTATTACCCGCCCTCGCAACATGTCGGTGAGCAGTTTCATAGCAGGTCGAGGAAGTGGCTGGACTTCCAAGATCTGTCTCACAGCACCGCCGAGGAAGTGGCCGGCCTTTCAAGATCAGATTGCAATAATGGCTGTTGTTTATGACCACGCCGTGCAGCACCGTAGCTTGGGCGCCATCGAGGTCCTGCATAGACAAACAGATCTTCTGGTCCATATAAAGCCCTCGTTGTTGGCTTGCAGCAGCCTGGCTGTTGGAACGAGGGAGTCACTCGACTAAGACATCTATGGAGACGACTTGAACAGCGGACAAGAACTACAAAGGTTTAGGTCTTCTTTGATTCATAGAATAAAAATTTTATAGGAATAGAAAAATCATAGAAAGTGAGACGACATAGGAATTCCTACAAAAATCATAGGAATTCCTACAAAAATCCTACAAACAAAGAGGCCTTAAATACACAGCACGGTTCGTAAGAATCTGTTTTGTTCGTCGAGGACACCGCAAAGGTCATTTAAAATCATGGTTTGGGCGATTTTTTATAAGCAATTTATGCGTTCCCTCAACTAAGTTATACAATGATGCAGGATAGCATAACGTAGGGATCATTTGAGGGATCAAACAGGAAAAACTCATACGATGAAAAATATTCCAAAACACAACAATATTGAATCCAGTACATGAGACGATCATGGGTTTCACAAAGTATGAGCTAGCAGTATTTAGACGACACAGATAACAGGCCAAAAATTTCCACTCAGCCAAACCAGATGCTACAAACTGCTCTAACGAATAGGCGGATAGGTTATGTAGAGCTTCCTTCTCTAGGCCTTCCTGGCGATCTGGGACTCAGCCTGCGCGAATAAAGATCAAAACACCTATTAGGAGAGCTCAAAACAGCATATACAACAAGAGCATCGCATAGCATGAGCAGCTGAGCAAGGATAAATGGAAAGAATACGCACCTCCTTCTTCACCGGCTCTTCCTTCTCCGACAAGATCAGCTCAATGTGGCATGGGTTGGACATGTAGGCTGCAACAAGATAGAGGGAGCCATGAGCAATTTTCAAAGATTGCCTGAAACATTACTACTAAGATGAAGCAGGTGTTTCAACAAACTTACGGTTGATGCGTCCATGGGCACGGTAGGTCCGGCGCCGCTGCTTCTGGGCCTGGTTCACTTGGATGTGTGAAATGTAGAGAGCATCAACATCAAGACCTTTCACCTGTAGAGCAGATACTGGAGTTATAAAAAGCTGACAAGTTATCATGGACACATAAACTAAGGCAGTCATGGTAAGATAACGGACCTCAGCATTGCTCTCAGCGTTCTTTAGAAGATCCAGAACGAACTTAGCAGACTTGGCAGGCCAGCGTCCCTGACCATTGGGCTGACGGTTCTTCACCTGGGCTGTGCGTCCAACACCACGGCAGTACCTCCGGAAGGGGATGGCTTGCTTGTGTGCCAACACATCCTCAAGGTACCTCTTGGCCTTGTTGAGCGACATCTTCCTCAGGGCAAGCGCTGTTTCCCTAGTGTTCTGCAATTTCAAACATCCAGGTCAGGAAATCAACACTGGTAGCTTTACAACAACAGTTAGGCAGATCAGATAATACACCAAACATCAATATGAACAGACAGAGTTCTATCATTTAAGGTTCAAAAAAAGAGCCAAGTATAACTGCAAGCTCAACTTAACTAACAAGGACACCATGCATTGTATGGGCAAGAACACAAAAAATCAGCAATCAGACATTGGAACACAGATCAATAAAAGTCTGAATAACAAAATGTGTCATCGTTTATTGAACCAAAAGACATAAAACACATAGTACTGTGTCCAATGGTTCACCCAAGAACAATGATCATAATGTTCCTAAAGCTTATGGGGACACTGCTTATAAAGAGCAAAGCATCCTGCTTTTTTTTCTTTAGGGTCACAACAAAAGAAGCAGCTCCAGACATAGCAGGTAACTCATTACCTCAAAATAGTGAGGTTACCAGTCAACCACAAAAAATTGACATTACCAAGGAATGTGTCTTCGTTTACTGAACCAATAGACATAAAACACAAAGTACTGTGTCCATCGGTTCACCCAATAACAATGACAATGTGATCTTCCTAAAGTTTACGGGGACACTGCTTATAGAGAGCAAAGCATCCTGCTTTTTTACTTTAGGGTGATAGCAAAAGAAGATCAAGAACAATAGCTAACTAACAACAAGGAGTGAACTGTATCCATAGCTTGGTGAGAGTAGGCATTTGTTGTGGCATATTGAACAACAAACCCAACATTTAACGGTGAAGTGCATATAATTGACATAAAATGTGCCATCATTTACTGAACCAATAGACATAGAACACAAAGTACTGTGTCCACTGGTTCACCCAAAAACAATGAAAATAATATTCCTAGAGATTACGGGGACACTGCTTATAGAAAGCAAAGCATCCTGCTTTTTTTCTTTAGGATGCAAATGAAAATGCGAACTGCCACAGAAGCTGCACTTGTTTTCAAGTTTCAGAGGATTGCATTTTCCTGAGTCTAGAGGATACTGTATAACTTATAAACCACACCCTGCTTACGAGACTTGTCACTTAAAACTGTCTCAGGTGGTACATAGAGGAACTAATGCACTAAATCACTAGCTGGTTCATCACATGCCAAACAATGGGATTATGGGAATTTGTGGCTGCAGCCAAATCGGTTAGTATACTATTCGAACTAAACTATAACTACCAGCCTTATCAAAGATAAATGCACACCACACATCGAGACCAGCTAATCCTTCTAACGATAGGCTTCCAAACTTAAGTTGACAAGCCATTCAGTGAAAGATCCGTTGAAAAGCGTTATCGGGATTAGACTCGGGAGCTCACCTTGAAATGAACACGCAGGTCCCGGCCCATGGCCTTGGCGGCTGCAAGAATCAAGGGAAAATGCACACATGAGTAATCAGCAGATCTGCGGAAATCATCATACGACACGGCGAAAACAAATCCATCCGTCTCCTCGAGCAGGGGAACTTACACTTGGTGGGATTGGCGGGATCCGTCGAGTACTTCACCTGGAAACCAAGAACGAGAAACGAAACACACGGAGTCAGAGCAAAACAAAGGAACATAGACGCTGGGCAAACGGGCGTGAGAGGGGGAGAGAGAACGAACCATGGCTGCGGCGGCGCGGGAGAGAAGGCAGCGGCGGCGGCGAGAGCGAGGGGATGGGAAGGTTGGGAGAAGCGGTCATTTATATAGGAGCATCGAGACCTAGAAGCAAAACCCTATCGGGCTTCGAATGGGCCAATCTGTGGTCGCGGGGTCGAGTATGAAGCCCAGTTACAAACAGTAGGCTGAAGCCCAGCCCAGTGACCAGACCAGCAGACCCGATATCGGTTGTCCTCTTCTTCTTCTGTTTTACCTTTTTTCGTGTGCAATTTAGAGGGCTTTATTCAGAAAATGCATCTATATCTGTACTAATATAAAAATACTTTAAAAGGCAGATCCTACTAATCTCGTCCATTAAATCAGGTCGATCCACCGACTAAACTGCTCCAACGACGAGCGCACAACATGTTTAGCGTGTAATTAATATCATACCAAATATAGCACGAATCACGTTGATAGGTTTTGACGAACTTTATTTTTCGCAAAATAACAAAGGAAAAAACCCAAATAGGGAAGACATGTTTCTCTTTCCGAGAGACATGACCGTGCCACTCACGAAAGCAAATTCACGTCTCCACGAGAAGTAAATCCATGTCTATTGCGAAAGGAAAAAAATACGATTTTTTTTCCAAGAGGCATGGTCATGCCTCGCAGAAGCAAATTTGTGTCTCTCATGGCAGGAAAAAACGCCTTTTTTACCTTTCTACGAGAGGCACGACTGTGCCTACGCGTAAGCAAATTCGTGCATCTCATGGTAGGAAAAAACATGTTTTTTTTTCTTTTATGAGAGGAAGGGTTGTGCCTCTCGTGTAAGAAAATCTGTGCCATAAGTAAATTTATGTCTCTCGTGGAAGAAGAAAAAATGCATTTTTTTCTTTTTCGAGAGGCAAGATCCACGGAAGCAAATCCTTGCCTCCACCAGAAGTAAATCTATGCCTTTCACTAAAGCAAATCCATGTCTTCATGGGAAGTAAATCCATGTCTATTGCGAAAGGAAAAAAATACATTTTTTTCCAAGAGGCATGGTCATGCCTCGAGGAAGCAAATTTGTGTCTCTCATGGCAGGAAAAAACGTCTTTTTTTACATTTCTGCAAGAGGCACGACTGTGCCTACGCGTAAGCAGATTCGTGCATCTCATGGTAGGAGAAAACATGTTTTTTTGTGAGAGCAAGGGTTGTGCCTCTCGTGTAAGAAAATCTGTGCCAGAAGTAAATTTGTGTCTCTCGTGGAAGAAGAAAAAATGCATTTTTTTCTTTTTTGAGAGGCACGGTCTGCAGAAGCAATTCCGTGCCTCCACCAGAAATAAATATGTGTCTCACGTGATCATTTAGATGACTCGATGGATGTCTATCTAACTGGGAGTTTTTAAGTATTATGATTAACTGAACTTAATTTATCATGAACTTACTCCTGATAGTATTTGCATTTTTATGTTGTAGATCAATAGCTCGCGTATAGCTCTTCTGTTTTATTTTTGATATGTTCCTAGAGAAAAACTATGTTGAAAGATGATAGTATCAATGGTACGGACTGGGTCTGTGATCTGAGGATTATACTCATTGTTGCACAGAAGAATTATGTCCTTGATGCACCGCTAGGTGACATACCTATCGCAGGAGCAGATGCAGACGTTATGAACGTTTGACAAGCTCGATATGATGACTACTTGATAGTTTAGTGCACCATGCTTTACGGTTTAGAACCGGGACTTCAAAAATATTTTGAACGTCATGGAGCATATGAGATGTTTCAAGAGCTGAAAATGATATTTTAAACTCATACCCGTGTTAAGAGGTATGAGACCTCTGACAAGTACTTTGCCTACAAGATGGAGAAGAATAGCTCAGCTAGTGAGCATGTGCTCAGAATGTCTGGGTACTACAATCGCTTGAATCAAGTGGGAGTTAATCTTTCAGATAAGATAGTGATTGGCAGAGTTCTCTGATACGTCCATTTTGCACCATGCTTTTATATCGATATTTATTGCATTATGGGTTGTTATTACACATTATGTCACAATACTTACGCATATTCTATCTTATTTTACAAGGTTTGCACGAAGAGGGAGAATGCCGACAGCCGGAATTCTAGACTAGAAAAGGAGCAAATATTAGAAACCTATTCTGCACAACTCCAAAAGTCTCGAAACTCCACGAAAGTCAGTTTTGGAATATATAAAAAATATTGGACGAAGAAAGCACCGGAGGGGGGCCACCCACCATCCACGAGGGTGGGGGCGCGCCCCCTGCCTCATTGCTCCCCCTGGCAGGCCTCCGGTGCCCATCTTTGGCTATATGAAGTCTTTCGCCCTGGAAAAAATCATAAGCAAGCTTTCGGGACGAAACTCCGCCGTCACGAGGCGGAACCTTAGCGGAACCAATCTAGGGCTCCGGCGGAGCTGTTCTGCCAGGGAACATCCCTCCAGGAGGGCGAAATCATCACCATCGATCCTCTCATCGGGAAGGGGTCAATCTCCATCAACATCTTCACCAGCACCATCTTATCTCAAACCCTAGTTCATCTCTTGTATCCAATCTTTGTCTCAAAACCTCAGATTGGTGCGTGTGGGTTGCTAGTAGTGTTGATTACTCCTTGTAGTTGATGCTAGTTGGTTTACTTGGTGGAAGATCATATGTTCAGATCCTTTATGCATATTAATACCCCTCTGATTATGAACATGAATATGATTTGTGGGTAGTTATGTTTGTTCATGAGGACATGGGAGAAGTCTTGCTATAAGTAGTCATGTGAATTTGGTATTCGTTCGATATTTTGATGAGATGTATTTTGTCTTTCCTCTAGTGCTGACATGTGAACGTTGACTACATGACACTTCACCATTGTTTGGGCCTAGGGTAAGGCATTGGGAAGTAATAAGTAGATGATGGGTTGCTAGAGTGACAGAAGCTTAAACCCTAGTTTGTGCGTTGCTTCGTAAAGGGCTGATTTGAATCCATATGTTTCATGCTATGGTTAGGTTTACCTTAATACTTCTTTTGTAGTTGTGGATGCTTGTAAGAGGGGTTAATCATAAGTGGGATACTTGTCCAAGGAAGGGCAGTACCCAAGCACCGGTCCACCCACATATCAAATTATCAAAGTACCGAACTCGAATCATATGAACGTGATGAAAACTAGCTTGGCGATAATTCCCATGTGTCCTCGGGAGCGCTTTCCTTTACATAAGAGTTTGTCCAGGCTTGTCCTTTGCTACAAAAAGGATTGGGCCATCTTGTTGCACATTATTTACTTTTATTACTTGTTACCCGTTATAAATAACCTTTTCACAAAACTATCTGTTACCGATAATTTCAGTGCTTGTAGAGAATACCTTACTGAAAACTGCTTATCATTTCCTTCTGCTCCTCGTTGGGTTCGACACTCTTACTTATCTAAAGGACTACTATAGACCCCCTATACTTGCAGGTCATCAAGACTCTTTTCTGGCGCCGTTGCCGGGGAGTGAAGCGCCTTTGGTAGGTGGAATTTGATAAGGAAAAATGTATATAGTGTGCTGAAATTTACTGTCACTTGTTACTATGGAAAGTAATCCTTTGAGAGGCTTGTTCGGGGTATCTTCACCCCGATCAATAGAGCAAAGAGTTGCTCCTCAACCTACTGAACCTACTGAAAATGTTACTTTGAAATTCCTTGGGGTATGATAGAGAAACTGCTAACTAATCCTTTTACAGGAGATGAAACATTGCATCCCGATTTGCACCTAATCTGTGTGGATGAAGTTTGTGGACTATTTAAGCTTGCAGGTATGCCCGAGGATGTTATCAAGAAGAAGGTCTTCCCTTTATCTTTGAAGGGAAAGGCATTGACATGGTTTAGGCTATGTGATGATATGGGATCATGGAACTACAAACGATTGAAATTGAAATTTCATCAGAAGTTTTATCCTATGCATCTGGTTCATCGTGATCGTAATTATATATATAATTTTTGGCCTCGTGAAGGAGAAAGCATCGCTCAAGCTTGGGGAAGGCTTAAGTCAATGTTACATTCATGCCCCAATCATGAGCTCTCGAGAGAAATTATTATTCAAAAAATTTAAGCTCGGCTTTCTCTCAATAATCGCTCCATGCTCGACACTTCTTGTAATGGTTCTTTTACGATGAAGACTATTGAATTCACATGGGATTTATTGGAAAGAATTAAATGCAACTCTGAAGATTGGGAACTCGACGAAGGTAAGGAGTCGGGTAGAACACCTAAATTTGATTGTGTTAAATCTTTTATGGATACCGATGCTTTTCGTGAATTTAGCACTAAATATGGACTTGACTATGAGATAGTAGCTTCTTTTTCTGAATCCTTTGCTACTCGTGTTGATCTCCTTAAGGAGAAGTGGCTTAAATATCATCCTCCCATTGAAGTAAAAATAGTTGAACCTATTAAAGTTGAAGAAAATACTATCACTTATAATGTTGATCATATTGTTCCTACCACTTATATTGAGAAACCACCTTTCCCTGATAGAATGAAGGATCATGCTAAAGCTTCAACTGTGGTTCGTAAGAGTAATACTAGAACACCTACACCCTCTGAGCAAATTAAAGTTGAACCAAGTATTGCTATGGTTAAAGATCTCTTGTCTGATAATATTGATGGGCGTGTTATTTACTTTTGTGATGAAGCTGCTAGAATTGCTAGACCTGATACTAAAAATAAACATAGACCTGCTGTAGGCATGCCTGTTATTTCTGTTAAAATAGGAGATCATTGCTATCATGGCTTATGTGATATGGGTGCTAGCGCGAGTGCAATACCTCATTCTTTATATGAAGAAATTATGCATGATATTGCACCTGCTGAGATAGAAGGTATTGATGTTACAATTAAGCTTGCCGATAGAGATACTATTTCACCGATTGGGATTGTTAGAGATGTTGAAGTCTTGTGTGGGAAAGTTAAATATCCTGCTGATTTTCTTGTTCTTGGTTCCCCACAAGA